AAATGAAGCTTGATATCACAGTGCAAATTAACATCTGAGAGAAGACTGAACTTGTTTGTAAAGGTCTAAAGTACAGGGTTAGCAGCTTTTGTATAATAAGACCCCATGGATACGGATGTGTTGTTGTTTGCACAAGTAATGACTGTAGCCTATCATTTAACATGTGCTAATTGCAACTATTCTCATCCTGATTTTTCCTGCAGCCAGGCCTGTCAGAATAACAACATTTGAAGAGAGATATTGCATTTCCTTTGGGATCAATAACATATCTACTGTATTTATCAATCTTTTGCAACAGAAAATGATTAGTATTATTATTTTGTTTTATTTGATAGAGGCAGGTTTGCTTCATAATGCTGCAAGATCAAACACAATCGAATCGAAATCTCAATTTGGATGTATACAATTATCGCAAAGGCTGCAATTTTTGAAGTCATTTCCTTCACAAACAATAAAATATCCTGTCTTAAGCTGCATCTGTACAAACATGTTCTGAAATGTGATTCTTGTATTAGTTTGTGAGTTCATATTTCAGTCTTTATGTCAGTTCTCGGCCCTATTATTAAAACATAAATCGAAAATCTGATTGCAACTGCAGTGCTTGTCAGAAAAATTGTAATTAGACATTTCCCCAAACTGTGCAGCTCTACTTCATTATCTCATGTCACACACCACTACATTTTCACCGAGGCTAATTCTCAATGTCAATGGGAACAACACCATAGCAGACCGTGACTGACAATACAAATTGATACAAATATACATCATTCAAAAATAGGTAAGGAAAAGAGTTGCATTTTTTGGTGCCTTGTATACTGAAGGCTGATTTTCTGAAGTAGTAGTTTTTCATTGTGAGCTCCTCGGGTCAATATCACAATAAATAAAATAAAAGTACTTTATGCCACTAATGCTATAAAATAATGCTTAATTAAAGGTCCTGTATTACACAAAATTGACCCTTGTGAGCTTTAAACCATGTTAGAATGTTGTTATCTCCTCAAAAACATGTTTGCGTTATCCACCTATTGATGTCATGAAGCAGTAGTTTTCAAGTTAATAGCTCCTCTTACCTTTTGTTCAGTAGACTAACTAAACACAGTGGAGCACATCCTGTATTACCACATGACATTTTTCAGTTTGAGAGAGAAACTGAGCCTAAATATGCAGGTTTTGTGTGTTAAACGTGTGAATAAAACAAGACAAGCCCAGGTATGTTTATGATGAGGAAACAAATTTATAACAGAGATCAGAATATAGCTTTATATGGCCCCTTTAAAGTTAATCCTAGTAGACTCTTTTCTAAATCTACAGTACTGCCCCAGTTCATATTCATTAAACAATAAGCACCAAAGTCATTATCGTGACAGGTCTACTTGCAGCCTTGACTACAATTGTTTTTGTGCATGTCCATGAGCTAACCACCACACTTCCCCTGTTCATCCAAAACAACATGTAATCTCTTTCTGTAATGCACGTGTGGTATGACCAACTCACCCACACGCGTCTTCCTTTTCCCCTTAGACAATCGGATTAGTCACTCTCCATTGTGGAAGCCTGCCTCATATCCACGGGCCATAAAAGTGCAAAGAGACCGCCTAAAAGCATCCCTTTCCTGGACAACAGGGTCACAGCTGATCTCCCATAAACACAGGACACACCTTAGTACAACACATTTCAGATATCCCCTCTGTAATCCCAACGGCTCCTCTTCTCTTGACACAGGATACTGCAGACCAACTGTAGTTACATTAGAATTGACTGTAAATACAAAAGCAGATGGGGAGTTTTTGTAGGGTTTAGAACAGTGGAATGTGTCAATAATTCAATAATTGAGTTGAATTGACTCTTGTGAACTTTCAGACATGTTCTTATCTCATCAAAAACATTCCTGGAGTTTGTCTGGAGTTTTGCTTCATTCACACATGCTTGAGTAATCCTGGTTTATGAGTCTATCTATATCTCCAAAGCTCAAAATGCTCTTTTCCACCTTCTGATGTCATGAAGTGGTAGTCTTCAGTCTTCAAATTAACAGCTAGATTTTACCTTTAGGTCAGTAGAGACTGGCAATTCCAAGGCTGAAATTATCCAGATGGTTCTAGTGAAGGTGTATGGAGTTTAAAAACCGTAGAGCACGTCCTGTATTACCACATGACATCAGAAAGTGAAGAGTGTTTTCTGTTTGGGAGAAGATTTGTGTGTTAAACATGTGTGAATGAAACAAAACACAACTCCAGGTATGTTTGTGAAGAGGAAACAACTTCACAACATAGATCAGAATATAGAGTAATATGGGCCCTTTAATGTGGGTTGGGAGTCATAAAAGGGCAGTGCATCTATACATTTTCAAGCCATGTTATGAATGTATGAATTCATGAATTTTATTGGAATGCCTCTAGAGATGCACCATCTCATCTCCGTTTTGCTTTTAGGGCACTTTTTTTTTCTCAAGGGGTAAAAATAATTCAACAAGTGTGCCAAGTGGGTAATAAGAATATGACATGTTTCATCATGGCAGTAAATTGTAGTAGTCTAAAGTAGAAATAACATGCAGTTGGAATTTTGCGATAGTAGGGCAGTAATATAGTCATGAATGAGTAGTACAGGAAGATTCCCAAGTAGAGGTTAACAACAGTAGTAGGAATATTGTTGTATTTTCAGTAAATTTAGGACTTCTAGATCAATTGTGTACTTGCAACTGTATTGAACTGCTTAGTTGATCATCTTTACTTCTACTTAAAGTTGAACTATATAACTTTTCTGGTGGAGGGTATGCCAGTTTCTTTTCTCCTTGATGGTGTTGTATTGCTTTGCGTTCAAAGATTCACAGTATGGCATAAAGTGTAACCATTTCCATTGAGACAAGCAGGGGACGCCACCAGGCCAAGTCAGATCTGTGGAGATGGTACCCTTTTCACAGTTAGAATGCATTTTTTCAAGGTATATTAGACAATGACAACAGGATAGATAGGGTTAAGATCACTGTGGACCATTCCAAGCAAAGAATTAACATCTCCATTTGACAAGCAGGTAGTGGACTCTACACAGAAAAGTTACACGCACCTTTAGGAACTCAGTATTAGTATTCATTGTCAAGTTAGAGTCCTAATTTTTATATGGGCACTCTTAAGACAGTATTATAAATGCCTTCCTAGAAGTTTATAAAATCACTGACCAGATTAAGACTATCTCTGAAACTTTTTCTGCACTGACCAAAATGGCTTCAAAGAACAAGGATGGCACAACAGTTGTACCATACTCTATGTTAGGACCTGGGTCACTGGGTTTAGGGGTTATAGTAGAAGTTTTAACCTTTTTTTCTACTCAAAGAAAAAAATTGTGGGACGAAAACCACAAAGTGAGCTGGTGTCTTTTGTGTGACCAACGTGCCTCGCGCTGGGTTTCCTTAGCATTGTCATGACAACAGTGTGTACGTACCGACCCTGGTCTTTGAAAACTAAACGCGCACCCAAAGTTAACCCATAGTTTGGTTACGCTACTTTTCCGATAGGCCTACCCTTTTCCATTAACTGGTCTTTTAATGTAACGTTTGATGTCAGAACAAGTGCACAGTAACTTCGCAAAGACAACAAGTAACCATTCGTTGACATACCTCCATTTGGGTAACTTTTTCGTATCCTTTTTGTGTCCTTGTTGTTATTCTGGTAATCCACCGCCCTCCACTCTGCGCACAAAGCGGGAAAGCGTCAGTTGGTTACGGGATTCGTAACATAATGTTGTGTCCACATGCGTTGGAGCACAAAAACACGGAGGACGAAGGGTCCGGCACAAAGTTTCTCCGCCCAGATTCATTCTCTACTCCTCTGGCTGCTTGTATCAAAGGATGCTTGGCCCCGCCTCTCCTAAATCACTATAATCCCAAAGATTTACTGCGTGTGTCTGCTCTATGATAGAACATCAAGGTGACAGCCTGTAGTTTTTATAAAAGATTTATGGAGTTACACGTGAAGTCAGCTTTTTACGCACACATTTTCAGTCACTTAATTTTACATTTGTCATGTGTTATTACCAGTTACTATACAGTGTTATGATTTGAGTATGCATTAGATTTTCAATAATATGCCAGAACTGAATTAAAGACAAAAACTAGCGTTTTATAGAGGCACTGTCTTGGGCCTCACTCTGATACAGAGGGAGGCCCACAGGAGAGAGTGACCACAGCCTTTGAAGTCAAGGTTCAAAGAACTAAGTGACACCAGTATTATGATTATGATAAAGCTCTGACCCACGCTGCGAGTGTTTAACATTCTTAGTCCTCGTGGAATTGCATTTTTTTACATGTGTTTTTTTGTGTCATAGCGAAACTTTTTCATGTCATAATCAGTGGTAAACGCATAAAGGACCTGTAACTAAATTTGATGTAAAGGATATTATGGTATTATCGGATTGCCAACTGTTTATTTTTGCATTTTGTGCAGGCAAGTATGTTTTTGTACAACAACATGTAGGCATAATTTGACAATTCGAACAGACATAAAACTATTTTTGAATATTGGCTAAATGGCCTATATATAGGTACATAGAATTCGAGCCAACTGTTAATAAATGTAATCTACTGGGTTAGACATACTATATTCTGAAGAGAAATGCTTGTGAACTTCAGATTTTCCCACACGTCTGATCTTATCATTTGACCTATAGTGCCACTAGATGGCAGCAACACGTCACAAATTGATTGCCATCGAATTGTAGTAAAAAATTAAAATACAAATAAATAATTGGGTGTTGATTGAAGGGTTACTTCAATGTAAAAAATAAAAAGTATTATTCATGGTTCAGATGGTTTATTTGCTTGTTGTGTCAGATAGTGACTTCTTGTGTACCCGGATATCCGTGTTTCATAAGGCAATGTTCATGGGAAATTGAGTTTTTTGACTTACAATTCTTGAACAGAGTTTGCGCAGTAAGATTTACGTACGTTAACCAAACCCGCTTTCCTTACGCAGGTGGCGTACGGACGCTGTCTGTTTGCTCCTTGGAGATTCCCCTTCCTTCCTGGGCTGTTTGAGGTAAACGTACGCGGTAACAGCATTCTCGGTCATACCTGAAAAGAAACTGAATATTCGCCTTTGTCATTGTCCTGTCAGACATGGGACCATCGCAGAAAGCCTGAGTCTGACGGCTGGAAATGCTACGGAGCCTCAAACACACAACCCGGGAAACAACTTACCTCATCGATGGCTGTAAAAAGTTAACACTCATCGGCTGGAAACCAGGAATAAAACACGTTTACTGAACCGCAGGTAAGGCTTTTTTGGTACTAAAGTGCTTAGACATAACCCTTCTTGTTGGTCGTTTGTAATAGGCATCAATAATGTCTTTGTTTACAAGATACCGCTGTGTCCCCTTCATTTCGTTTTCTCAATGAAAGTTGGCTCCCCAGATAGATTACGTGCCAGCCTTCGGGGCGCACGGGCTTACAGTTTTCCACAGTTAGAGCTGTTATGTGACAGTGTGTCTTCTGCGTGGTTTTTCAGTGTGGTTAATGACAGTAGGCTATAATGTACCTATAATGTACTTTATGGAACATAAAGGTGAAAGGGTTGTATAGAGACAAGCACATCTGATGAGCAGGCAGAGCAGACTGAAACTTCATGAGACTTTGTACCTTAAAGGCCTAAACAAAATAACCCTATGAGCTTCTATACGGTCATGTCATGCTTTAAGTGTGTCCAATTGCCTTGTGATGACATTATCTGTTATCTTACTAATGACAACTTACAATGTACCGTGAAATCAACTCGCATCCTTCTTTCCTCTCTGCCCCCATTGGAGTCCCTGGAGAATAGTGCTGTAACTGATCCCTCTCCCAAGCACTGACTATTACAGCAGCTGTCTTCAGCCCTGCCTGGAAGAGGGACAGGTGGTTGGACAGGTGCAGCCTCTTAACAAAAGACTGTAGTGCACTGGTTTACACTAGTTAACTGTTCTATATGCTTTTACAGTAGCATATCCAAACTATGGCAAACTTCAAAAGCTGTAGCATGTTTGTTTTGGTCCAAGTTTGGCCTGATAAAAAACATTTTTGTTTTTATATCACGCACCAAAAATACAGGTAAAAATTAGTGAGATTTTCTCACACAAATCCATTTATTTATTAAAGCATGAACTTGGCATAATATGTTTCTTTTCTGATTTCTAATTGGTTGATCAAATATAACATAATTAATTTGTATTCATAATGTTATATTTGTGAATTTACTAAATTGCTGGTCTTTTGTGTTCTGTAAAAAATGTCCCGTCACCTATGTGTGTTTCTGTGTTGTGTTCATGTGATGGAGACGTTTCATAGCAAAGTTTCAGATCTAATAATAAACTATTATCTTATCTAACATCAAGCGGAAACAAATGTAATACCTTGTAATTGGCCTGAGAAAACCTTTGAGCCACATTTAAAGCTCAATTATAACGTCATAGTATCACTGTATTCCAGTAACTGAATCAGGCAAAAGCCTTCTCATCGAAACGCTATTCAGGACTGCCCTGGTTTAATATGTCTTAAAGCCAAAACCATTTTTTAACCTTGAATCAGCACATATCCATCTCTATAAGTAGGGCGTGATGACTTGTTAAATAAATAAATCAAACAAGCCGAATAATTACTTTATACAGTTCTAAAGAATTGTCATATTTCAGTTTTACACTTCGGTGGAATTTCACACAAGTCACGTTTTGTAAGCAAACTGGTTTTGCCTCAGTGAAGGAAGCAGTCATAGAGCTGTACAGGAACACACCCTTATACTTATGACTGTGGACGCATTGATGCAGATTGGTGAGTTTACTTTTCAATGTGTTTTAACTGGCTGCTTTATGTAACATCAGATGCACTCAGAAGTTGCTTGTGTGACTCAGCCCGGGTCTTTAAAGCAGATTTTTGCTGGAAAACAGTCAGTGCAAAGATACAGGGCGTGTGTTGGAGCAGAAGAGTGATATGAGGTGGAAGAAGAGGGAGAGGGGAAGTTTGAAGGCTTATCTCAGTAATGTGCATGGACAGTTGAGCAGTGATGAGTGTTGCAGCCACCAGTGTCATAAAGTTAACCCTTTACTACCACTTAAGCAGTTATTATTCCACAGTTTGTAATTTTTTCTGTAAATAATACATTTTAAGTAGTCAGTTCAGGGAAGTTATTGTAAACGTATCCAACTCGAGTTTGTTAAAGTCTTGTACTAGTCTATTTGTAACATCCATTAGTATGCACTGCCCTGCCCAGGCGTTATTCACAATAATGAGCGAGACCTTTAGCTTTGGCTCTATTGAGGTTTATTTAAATCTCTTGAACGCAGCCTTTCCTCCGACGCCAGTGCGCATGCGTCTTGCTGACACTCCAGTAATCCGGTGAGGAGGAGATTGCATCCTCGTTCACTGCGCCCAAGCTCCCGGGGAGGACAGATTTAAACCCGTTCATAAAATATTCAACGGAAGAATGTTAAACAGGGTATCAAAAGGACATTTGGAAGACTAACTTTTATTTTCCATGTGAATTCATCATCGAGGCGGCAACGGGACCGGAGCACGGATGTCTTTACGCAAGACAACGAGCCTTGCCATGGAGATATAAGGTGAACGCTAGCAGTAACGGACCCGGTTACATACGGCAATATAACGCTAAAATGTGAGGTCAAGTGTGCGTCTGTTGTGGCTATTTTACGCATTTGGCAGCAGCGTTTCTCCCGTTCACCGTGGCCTCTTAACGGTGCGTGGAGACGGACCCAGACCACCGTCGTATGGGCTACAATTAATTCATAGCCCACATGCGTTGACACGGGTTATTTTTCATGTTGCTACAAAGACTGGAGGCCACGTGACTTATTGGTTGACATTGCAGACGAGAAGGCACGCATTTGCGCTTCTCTGGTGTTTGGAAAACCCACTGGAATCAGTTGGTGTCCTTCAGCTCCTTTGCTTGCGCAGACGTGTATTGGCAAGCCCGCGGGACCAACGTAAATCAAAAGTGCAAGTTGATGAGCAAGACTGGCTTAGTTAGAAATGAACCTCTCAGACAGCATAACGTGGAGTCATCCGCTTGTCCTTGCACTGTCAGAGCACCACTACTTGTAAAGGTAACATTCTTCTTGGAGATATTTTCCAAGCATTGCTCCAGCTTTCCTGTTTTGGCATATTGTGTGCTAATTCTTTCGACTTTAAATCATTCCTTTCTCTTTCAAAAGATCCAAACATAACGTTATATCCTGTGGGAGAAAATGCAGCTGGGATGTTTTAGTCCATAACCTCCTCAGCAGCTGTTCGACTGAAAGATGAGACTTTCAATATTAGCATAGTTGTAGTTTTGCCAACACCCTTCCCAAGAAATGCACTGGAGGATACTACTACTGTGATCTCATGCGCTGGAACAACAAGATCCACCCAAATATTTGAGCTATCGACAAGGAACAGTGATGACTTTTTGTTGACTGTGGTGGATTGTTGTTTTTTTTGCAGTAGAGATGCAGATTTTCAGAACACCTTTTCACTGGATTCTGCTGAACGCTTGGAAAGGGGAGAGGAGTCCGGCATGAGGCTGTACAGACCTAGGAGATTTGTCAGAAGGAACGCAGGCGGAATTATGAGTGGGGCTACAAAAGACTGTACAAGAGGGGAGACGCACAAGTGTGAGAATTTGGCATTTTCACCCCTCTAAAACCAGCTGTTGGGGTTGGATTCTGAGAGCCAGTACTTGCTTGAACAGTCTGAACTTTTTTGCGTAGTGATACACATTTTGGTGTTCAAGGAAATTAAATAAAACCCAATTTGAAGCAGGATTGAGCAGGATGTTAACGTTCTACTGAAAGTTGCACACTAAGGGAAAAAGGACTCTCATTTCCCCTTGTAAGTGCATGGTGAAACTCCTATTGCCGTGGTGATGGGGAGCTCCGCCTCATCTCTCACCGGAGAAACAGAGTCGGACCATGGCTTCAGCACCACGCAGTACCCGTCGTCGCCTCCTATGGGCTGGCTCCGGAACAGCCACAGCAGTCCGGTCTGGGGCACCACCTTCATCACACGGCAGCAGCAGCCCCCACTGCCCCATCGCGAGCGCAGGTAAGAGGCCAGCCAGACCATCCAACCGCGAGTCAAGTCATCTTTCACTTGAGTGCGCCCGCAACATTGACTTCTACAGTGGCGAGCGGAGGTGTTGTGTTACTGTTTATAGTAGCATTTAGACTTAACTGTAAATGGCAGGAGGTCCACAGGGCAGTTAAAAGCACCATTATATGTAAGCACACAACATCACAACTCGCTCAAAGCATCTATCAACACCTATTTGAGTTATGCCATCCTAGGAAATCCCTTTCTGACTAGTTTTATTCATCACATATACATATTTATCTGCACAAGAGACAACCAAAGTGCGGCTTTATGAGAGTGGTTAGTAATGCTGTTAATAATGCATTAAGTGATCTAGCTTGGGAATGCTATTTGCACTGCTACATGACTTTGTTATGAACTGGGTTATTTAAAGGGTCCATATAATATAACGTGCTTTTCTGATCTATGTCATAATGTTGTTTCCTCATCAAAAACCATACCTAGAGTTTTGATTTGTATAATTCACGCATGTTTAACACTTAAAAGACTGCATATTTAGACTGAGTTCTTCTCTCAAATAGAAAACACTCTGTTCCACCTTGTGATGTCATGTGGTAATAAAAGAAGCGATCCACTATGTCAGTGCTATACACCTTCAGTAGAATCATTTGGCAGTTCCAGGGCTGAAATCATCCCGTCTCTACTGAAATGAAGCTGTTAACTTGAAAACTAGTCCTTCATATGACATCACAAGGTGGAACAGAGCATTTTGATCTTTAGAGATGTAGACAGACTAATAATGCTAATTACTCAAATATGTGTGGGTGAAGCAAAATATAACTCCAGGAAGGTTTTGATGATGCCATTCTAACATGGCATCGATTTTGTGTAATATAGGACCTTCAGGTAACGTAATCCGTTTCTGAAACATGATTTATAGCAATTTATGTTCAAATTTGCTCTCAGTTGTTCCTGTGTTACATTACCACATTTAACATAAGCTACAGACCAACAGACCTATGTGCAGATAATAATTAATCCTTATTTAACACTAACCCTAATAATCACATGGATACTAACTTAAATTCTCCATTAGCATTCTAGTTAAATACTTGTTGTATTGAGCGGAGTCTTACAAACACTTCCGCTTACTGCTTGTTTCTTTCAAACATTACTCTTGAATTCTGTTTGAACAACAACTCTCCTCCCAGCATT